ATGTTTGAAAATGGATGATGAGAAAAATGTTGAAATGAAAAGTTTGATTGTGAAAGGTATCTTTGTATGATACGTACGGAATGATGCATTATTATAAATATTATGTACAATGAAGTGAATAGAAATTTCATTTTCTTTGCCGATTGGAACTGATCATGACCTAAATAATGATACATCCCTTTCATGTTTTAGTCTACATATCATTATGCTATTACACTTCGTCTATGTTCACACCAAGAAATCTCACATGATTACAGCAGAGTTTTTTAATTAGTTTTTTGAATGTAACTTATACGGTTTTTGCAACCGTATAAAGAACGCTTGGATTTTCTGGTAACAATAAGTGTTGAACGTACCGAAACGAATCTTTCTTCTATTTTCTTTTTTGTGTAGTCTCCCATCGAACATAATGCATATATAATAGAAGAAAAGATAAAACTTGACGTATATAGGAAACAACTCAATATCATGAAAATAAGAACAACGTACTCACTTATAATCGACATGGCTCTTACTATTCTTGATTCGCGTTAACGCTAACAAAAACATTAGACGTCATACGTTCTTGGCAATATTAAAATATCGTGCACAAGGGTATATCACTTAGTGTAATGATGAAATTTTAAGTTAGACATTTCAAAAACACTAGATTCTCATAGAATGAATATAGTAGTACATCAAAGCATGATAATTATTTGAATTTTACTGAACGGTAAAGGAAAGAAAAATATTAAATGGCTTCTTTTTGTTTTTCATGTGCTTATATGTAATCTTTATGAGATCGAATATATGTTTTAATAACATACCTCGAAGAAACTATATGGATAAACTATCACTAAGTATCTGTCAACATCTAGTTGAAAAACAAAAGGAAAATTTTTATTGAATACAAAACATAAATTACGATGTACATCTTTTTTTTTCTGTAAAAAGCTCTTATATTTGAAATTAAAAAAGATTCTATCATTTAAATTATTTATCTTTTTTTTTTGAGCTATCATTAGTAGAAGTAAAAAGGCTCATCGTAATCTGTTGATCATGAACCATCTATTCATATAGGATATCTCATGCATTATATAGTGCAGTTTTTATTGAAATATTGAATAATGAAATTGACAAAACATTATATGAAAAAAAATTGTCTATTGTTGCTTTCTATTGAAAATTTCCATACAGATTGGACTCAGAAACTCAATAGATTAATTGATTGATCTAACATTTTGTATTAGTATACGAGAGTGTTTGAGCTATAATTTTTATTGTGTCAAGAAATTTCGAATTATTAGCGATATCACATTGAATTTACATAAAATATTCTCGAAAGAAAATAAAAAAAATCAAGTGAATAATTTCCAAACATTTATTTTAGTATCTAGTTGATCAAATTTATATATTTATTATTCAAAATAAATACTATTTCTAAAAAAAAAAACGAGAGATTGAGTGTATACAAATAGGTTGTTAGATTTTCCGAAAACAATTCAAAAACTAATTAGTTCATGTTCATAAATATCAGCCAAATAAATTTACCTACTATAAACTCATATAAGCTTTGGCTATTCTAACAAATGGAATATTTTTATATATAGGAGTTTGACGTATAATAATTTATGTTTTAATAATATGCCTTATATCAACACCTATTAGACACGTTCATGTTAAGTGTTATAAATTACTTTTATAATACAATCATAAATTCATATGCATTTTATCTAATAATAATGTCTGTTTTTTTTAAATATTGATCAATTAAATAATCGTTTATTTCCGTGTGTAATGAGTAATAGTTTTAAAATTGATTGGATACAAACTTTAGTATCCTACTGTAAAATTTCGATAGTTTTATTGTTAATTATGTTTATTAACAACATTTAGTCTACCATATTTAATGTATTATAATCATATTAACAAAACTTCATACAACAATAATTACTTATACAATAACAAATGATTATTTTCAAAAATATTTTATTTTTTTTATTATGTATTAATTTTAAGTAGATGTTTACCAGTTATTATTATGACTATTTTTGAATTTTTAGTTTATAGAAATATATTCAAGAATTAGCTTTTCAAACAATATCGACTGTTTGACAAGAATTAGATAAACAATTAACAACAATGTTTTTTGTACAAGTTATTTTTAATATTTTTGCTATTACACCTTATACAATTATGATTTTTCTTTCAATTGTACTAAATATTTTTTTTTTAAAAACACTTGTCACAACAAAATTATCACATGTTTCAGTTATAAAAGTTTGTTTATATGATTTATATTTTACTGTAAGTATCATGGATTAAAAATATGATTTGTATGGTTTTTGTTTTTTTTTTCGTCTATTTTTCGAGTCCTTTCTATATATTTATTTATGTGTATCTAAACGATTTCGTCAACAATTTAAATATGTTGTATTGGATATAAATTTTACTCGATGTCAACAACGAATAGCTTTGGTTAAATAAATAACACCACACACACATAATTCTATTCATAATTATAAATTTATTTTTATTTTAAAATAAAATTAATAATATATAGCTGATACTAGAAAAGTTCCCCAAATGATTTACTAATCATTATTCTCCTTACAATCTTTATTATATAAACTACGACCTGTTTTTATATAAACTTTTTAACAGATCAAATTAAAAGAACATAAGTCTAAATAATCAAAGTATTCTATGTATAATGAAACAATTAATTTTATAATATAATCACACATGATGCATTGTATCATGAAATTTTTAGGTAGAAAAATTTGTATTCATTTTGATATATTTCTATCATATTGAAGATCTCTTGTATATTCATCAATTTTTATATAATATTGATTATATCATATACTCATCATAGATGACGTTGATCAATCTCACTACGTAATTCATGCATTGGACAGTTATAGCTTGTTGTATGTTGACAATATACATGCGTAAGTTGTCTATGTGTCGTTCATCAATTTTTTCTTTCTGTTCTTTTTCCTCATTGCTCTTCTCAACGGTCACCAACATGTTTTTTTTTCTTCTTCTTCTGTTTGACCCTTATTATTAGAATAGAATGAATGACCATATACACATGTTGCAGTTATTATTTTTTTCTTTCTTTTAAAAAAAAGCATATTCGGTGATGCTAGATGTAACAGTTAATAGTTTTGAATCTAGTTATAATTGATCAATTTTAAACGCTTATCAATCATCATATGCAAATGTTTACTTATAGACAACAGCCGTTTTCTGTTTATGCGTCTATTTGAACCTCAATCTATTTATTGTTGATGAATCTTTTAATGAAATTAAAATTTATTATAATGTAAATATCATAATAATGAATGATATAATTTCAAGTATTGAAATATTTCCAAATGAATTATTAATAGAAATATTCGAATATATTTCTTCATATGATTTATATAATACTTTTTTTAATTTAAATTCTCGTTTTAATTCATTAATTGATTCTCTATCAAATCTTTGTTTTATACTTGAAGAAGATTGGGATAATAAAGAACGTATTATTCCTCACTTTGTTTCACATATAACAAGTTTAATTATTAAACATGATGAATTAATTGATTTTTCTTATTATTCAAATATTCGTTCATTAAAATTATCTATGCCAACAATGAATCAATGTAATGCTATTCAACCATATCTTCTTCCTAATCTTGAACATTTATATATATCAAATTTATTCTTTTCGGACAATACCGAACAATTATGTCGTTTTATTTTTTCTCCTCTATTTCCTCGTTTACGAACATGTCATATCGATCGAATGATATTTAATGATCATTATCCTTATTGTTCATTATCACTTCAACAATTAACTATTTCACCTTGTACATGGAAATCAAATATGTGTAAACAAATATTGAAAGCATGTCCAAATTTAATTTATTTACGAATAATACGTTTGGAAAATATATCATTTAAATTATTTGTAAATTTTATTTGTTCACATACATCTCTTCGACATATTTACATGCATTTCTATTCCATAGAAGATGAATGGTATCAGCATATTGATTGGTTATTATCAAATGTACCAAATTTAGAGAATTTTACACTTCTTATTGATAAAAATGAAACAAAAGAGAAATTTTCATTTGATCGGTTATCTCATTTATTAATTCAACGTGTACCGTATTTAATTAATTTTAAAGCAAAAATACCATTAAATGATTTCTTATCAAAAGATTTGAATATAATCAAACAATTACATCCATTATTTATTTACATACAAATCCGACAATATGAAAATCAAGATTTCAATAATTATTTAATTATCTCATCTGAAAGATAATTAACTTGTTAATTTTTATTTGAAGATAGATAACCAATATGTACGAGAATTTAGAAAAATGTTTTTTCGATAAGTATACTATAAAATCATCAATCTTATATAATTTTTGTTCTTTAAAAATAAATGAAATTTTTATTAATCTAATAGCACATTGAATAAGTGTCATTAAAGATAGATGTGAATAAAGAAAAATTTTTATGATAAATACACAAAAATTGAATGATTGTTCAATTTAATTTCCAAATGATATAATAGATTTCTGAAAATCAATTAAGTATTCATTATTCAAAAAGAAATAATTTCTAGTTTGTAAAGTAAAACATTAAGTCTTGTACAAATCGAAAATCCTTGAAACTTGATATATTAAAAAAATAGAATGTTACTGACGAAAAATTTCATTATCATATGTCAAATGAAAATTTATTAGTTTAATAAATAATTAATAGTTAGCTTTTTAAACAAAAAATATCTTATATATATCGTTTTAGTAATTTCTGCACTTATCTTTTCATATTGAACTTTAATGAGAAATCGTATTTGATCGATCAAGAAATACAAAATTCTCGAAGGAATATATTCAAGAATAATCAATCATTATGAATTCAATTCTAAAAGTCATTTCAATAATGAATTATCATTCGATTTTTGAATATCAAATATTTATTAATAATTGTATGACATAAAGAATATTTTGTTATTAAGATATATAAAAAACTTTTAAAGGAACTTTTCTAAATCGTTTTTTTCTATTTTTATTTAAATGTTTTTTCTTTTGTTCTAATTTCATTAATCGTCGTTCACGATCAACTGGATCAATTTTAAATACATATTTCAATATATCCATGATAATAACAAATAAAAAAACAGCAATAATAGCTGCAATAGCTATTGATGCGAATGATTTACTTAATGCTTGTTTAGCTACTAATAATGTACTTTTATGTTCACAATATTTTCCAGAATAAAGTGAAGAATCAAGACAATGACATGTCCATGATAGATAGGATGAAAAACAAATACCATTATTTTTACAGGTTATATTAACACACATATCACGTATTAATTCACATCGTGCTCCATCATAACCATATTCACATATACATTTAAATGTTGTTTGATTATTAATAGACACAGTTCCATTCATTTCAACACAATCTCCATCATGCCTAAATACGAAAGATATAATCATGAGTTTTTATTACAGAAGCGAATATATCCCTAATTGAGAATCCCTGGGGATTCCCACACTCACCCTCGGTCCCTGTCATGATTCTCCAGGGACTTCGAGAGTATTTTATAATGAGATTTTACTAGAGGTGTATAGTACGATAAGATTATCGTGTACGATCGTTTGCAGTCGTCGTAAGTCTAATGGTATATTCCTACGAAGTCCCTAGCAAATTCCCAGAAACTCTCACATCAATCCCTGAAGACTTCTTGACTCCCTCGTAAATCTATAGGGAACCCTGTCGGGATTCTCCAGGGAATTTTGACAGGAAGTCTTCAAAGATTCGTTTAGGGATTCTCGACTAGGGATGAAGTTCTGCCTGTGTAACATATCGATAGATGATGCCAACTTCACCGCAATCATGGTGGAGTATGATGAAACTAGGATTATTTATTGATATATTAACAATATGCAGTAGAACTTGATACGACATACATGATTAGAAATAGAAAGCCTTTCTCTGTAAGCCTACATATATGCTGTTTTGTAGTCAAAACTTTATAGTGACTCTTTTTGTTCAATTCTAATTTTAATTGTATTCTTATCTTACCAACATGTATTATTTTTACATATTCTGTTATCATATTCACAATCATAACCTGAAAATCCCACTGGACATTGACACATATATTGTAATGGAAGAGTTTCATTGAAATAACAATGTCCTTGATTTTTACATGGTCCTAACATTTTACATATATCATTTGAGATATTACAATATTGACCAATCTTATTTTTTTCTGGACATCCATATAGTCCTAATGTAGATCTAGTTGTTGATTTTGTTGTTTGTATTTTTTCAGTAGTCAATACTAGTGATTGAAATGTAGTTGGCGAACATGCTGTTTGATCAAAAGTGAGTATTTTCTCTTGTCGACAAGATATATCAGTAACTTCAAGATAACTTTCATTTGATTTACATATGAATAGTGATAAACTTATTTCGGTTCTATTTGCACATCTTTTTATATGAAAAGGTTCCCATATGATAGTTATATTCTCCGAGTAGATGTCAATGATCGTTTCTATTGTATTTGTTTCATTGATAATAATTGTCCACACTAAATAATGATAATAGATAAAGATTTGTTTTATCCTAAAAGAAATCAACTTACGATAAAAGATAAGAACGAGTGATACCAATCGAACAATCATTTTTAGTGTGAATGTTTTGAATATGATTATCAGTTTATTTTCTTCTTTACAATAATAATTTATTATAAATAATTAATTGTATTATTAAAATTGACATGTTAAATAATCAATTCATTAATGAGAAAATGCAATTTCAATAGAAGCACGTAGAGAAGATAATGACTATTTAAATAAAATCAACAGCAGTTTGAATATATTCTTCAGAAAATATTGATATGATTGGATCTTCGAAATTTTATCGTATAGAGCTTTGTAAAAGAAGATATTTAGATGTTATATATTTAGACTTCACTTTCATTCTGTCCAGAATAAATATCTATAGATAGCTTTTAAATCTGGATTCGAAAATATAGAAATCTGTATTGATCACTTCTCTTTTTCGCTAATTAACAAAAAAAAAAGGGAACTTTTTTCAATGTGGAATCATCGAACATGTATAAGCAAAACTGAATATAAAAATAAATATAATCATTTTCTTGTACATATTTATGTATAGTCTCAATCATACATGAACCATATAATCAACTTTAAGTGTAGTCTTGAATGAAACTGAAAGGATCTTGATTTATTTGGATATGTATGTGTACGCAATAATATAGAAGGATTTATAAGAAACCATACAATGCATGAACTTTATGGAAAAAAAACTAAGTTATTCAGTGATAAAATGCATATGTGCATGAAAAGATGATGACGATTCTTTGTTTATTAAAGTTTTTAATGCTTTGTTGTGTACAATACAATTTGTTAGAAATATTTACAAGTATAAATCAAAGTGTGAACAAATGCCGTGCCTGTGAAATGTGATTGATTGATTGAAAGGGTGTCAACTAGAAATAATCAAACATTTTTTTTTCTTGGGACACGTTGCACAGTGTACGTTTATCACCGAGAAAATTTTTAAAAAAATCATAAATCTATAATGTGTTGAAATGTACATATGATACCGAAAGGTTTTTCAAAACAAGTCACCTTTCTTGATGAACAATTTCGGGACATAAACAAAAACTACTATGTACATATCAAAGAACGAATATGTTAAATTTACTTTATTTTATTTTAAAGAGAAATGAATGGCAGCATTACATCTAAACTTTAGAACACGAAATATGCTCTTTGTGTAGCTTAAAATTAGCTCAATGTTGGTTATATTCAATCTGTTACCAAAACTTTGTTGCTGACCTATAATAGTTGACTGTATAGAACTTTACTCCACACTATAAGAAGAACATATTAGTTATATAATAATTTATATGATTGATTTCTTTTTTCTGTAAAAGTGAATACGTGGAAGTTTGACAATATCGTTTTCTTGAATATTTCATGTTGATACTTTTTTTTTTATTCTATATCTAAAAACATAAAATTGATAAAGATTTTGATACATAAAAAGAAACCTTTTTATAAGTATATACACACTATAGATCAATAATTCTCTTTTCACTTCAGCATATCCAACTGATGAGATGTTTTCTTTTATTTTAATACTAAAAGGAAAAAGAAATAAAATTATTTTCTTCGTCTGTTTCGGACTTATGAAACATTTCGAAATGATTTTTAATTTTATTATTCTTAGATAAATTCCATTTCTTTCATGTATTTATTATGTAAATTAGTTAATTATTCATGTATCAATAACACTTTGCAGAAATATAAGTATTAGAATTATGAAATACGAGAGACTAGGTAATTGATTAGATAAAGTATTGGGAATTGATGTTTGTTTTTCTAATAATTCAATTACTACATCTGGTTGACTCGTAATGAAACCATCTACTTTAACTGTTTTATAAAAAATGTTTATTAATTGTTCAAAATTTCCTTTGAAGGTATCACGTCGAAATGTCCATGGATAAACAGAAAGATTATATTTATGAGCCAATAAAGTTAAATTTGTAACATTAATAAATGATCCATCTAGAGCAAAATTAACCAATAATTCCATATTTGGTGCAATAGCTTGAACAATCGTTGATAAATTTTGTAAACCTTGTTCACTTCGATAGAAATCATAATCACTTGAAGATTCATTTAACCAATTCCATGTTAATAAAGCAACCAAACGTAATTTACTCAATAGATTCTTACGAATATGTATTAATTCTTCTATGTGAAATGTTTGAATTATAATTGGATCATTAAGTTCAGTTAAATTATAAGCATTTAATGTTGAAAGTAGTATTGATGAAATAGATCTATTGTATTGTATATGATATTCAGGATTTTTTATTTCAATAAGTAATTGATATTGTCGATTTGTAGAATGACTAAGACCAAGTAATAATTCAATTGTTTCATTAAGTGTTGAAAGATGAAATTGTACTGTTGATGATGAAGGAAAACGAGCTGGATAAACTTGTATATTAGTAAACGGTGAAGTACGTTCATGAATATTTAGACGACGTAATTCCTCAAGATTAAAATCAATGACATAATGATAACCATCAGAACGATTTCGATTTGGAAATATATTTTCGACATTACTTATCGCATTTAAATAAAGATCTTTAGAAGAAAAAAAAAAATTATAGAGAATTTTTTAAAGAAAATATTCAATTTTACCATGAACGACAATTAATTGATTATCTCGACTAAGACAAACATCAATTTCAATTACATCAGCTCTTAGAGCATGTGCCATTGATTGAGATTCTAATGTAAGTTCAGGTAAATAGGCTGAACCACGATGACCAATTACCAATGGACGTGTAAGTCCTTGACAAATTTGAACAATATAAATTATTATGAAATGAATTATAAGCATACAAAATAACATTTTATCCATTCAATAAAATATGTAATGTAAATCTGATGATATTGTCGTTTGATGTATAAAATAATTTATGAAGGTGTCTTTTTATAGAGATTTTATGATACTGATAACAAGAATTTTTACTGTGAAAAATTTTATCAAATATTTGATGTAGAATGACTATACTTGATTAGAAATTCATTGTCAATTGCAAGGTATTCAGTAGTTAGAGAAGTTGACTTCGATCGTAAATATTCAATGGAAACAAGAAAAAAAAAGAAATTATTCGATTTATACGAAACGGTTCTTATCAAAAGAGTTAAATCCTTACATTTAGGTGAATTATTTTAGCAGGAACATTGTGTAATATATTTCGTGCAATTATCAGATAAAAAATAACCTTAACATGTGTCTATAAGAATTTATAAATTCAAAAAAAAGCGTAATACGATGAAAAGAATATGAAGAAAATGAAAATTATATCGTTTTCAATATTTTCGATAGTATCTGAATATGCCTGAACTTCGATAATAATAAAACACAGAAAATTAACAAATAAGAATTTGAAAAAATTTTTCCCATTAGGTTAGACATGAATTTTTAGTAAAATATTATCATCAAAAAAAGAAGGTCATTTAATATTATGATCAAATATTGATCATTTACACTTAATTATGCATTAATTTTTGTATGTTACTATGAGAGACGTTGACTATGTGGTATATTTACTTTTATAAGGGAATGCATATTAAGCCTGCAATCTTTATTGTATTTTATCATCGAATCCTTCTTTTCCTCTTAGTACAGAACAATGTTTATGCATTGACTTCTAAGTATTCTAAATTCATTGTCAGAAATTGATGTCGTCTCAAGAGCATTCAATCGAAAATCTTTAATCGGTCGAAACATTTCATTCTATAGAATGCATTTAGATATGCTTATAGAAAAAGTTTTATTGATTTTTATCTACTAGAAAAGATAAGCGTTCAATTTTTTTGTCTCGTATATATCAAATTTGTAATAACCGAATGATTGTTATTTTTTCTTAACTTTAATGGTAGTATCTCTTGTAAACAATTCCTAACAATATCGTATAATCGGCGTTACTTATCGTTTCAGTACATTTCATATAGATCGAAGTGAAATTTTCTTTTTAGTATCAATCAGGTTGCTTCCAATCAACCAATTCCATATTTAAAACAAGAAAGGTTTGGGACGAAAAACTTCAATCTTGATATATATATATATATGTTTTGTATTCGTTGTAAACTTCTTTGAAAATGTTTCTAAAAACGGCTACAAATAAAATTCAGTTATAACATCTTCAAGTAGATAACTGTAAGTCATATGCTATTCTGTACACTGTTTATATACTCGAAAAATTAAAAATTTATTAATGTGTATGAAAAAGGCAGAGAAAAATGTCCCGATAGCGTTATTTTTATCATATCATTAGACACATAGCTGACAATTTTTTTTCCATTGCTGACCAAATAAATAAAATGCTAGAACTATAATGATAAAAAGTGAAGTGTAGGTTGTTTAGAAACTCTATCTTCTCTTGCAGATTTATTTCACTTCCGCAGGTAATATAAATTATATTGTTACATTTGAAGATCTTAGCCATTGTTACAGTCATAAGGTCAGTTTTATCCTTGTGACAATGCTATCGAAAAGGTTGATAAAGCTAGTGCGATTACTTGAGTATCGTAAATGAATGATTCTAAGTTCTATTAATTGAACAACTTTAGATACTTTAAAAATATTTTGACTTGACGTAGAAAGAAATGTTACGTATATGGAGAATAGTTCCATTAAATAAAGCTTTTAGAAAATTGAAGAATGGAATAGCCATAAACTTCATTAATTAAGGAAAGAGGTGGTCTATAAACTCTTGCAATTTAAAATAAATAGAACTGTGATGATTTACCCAGCATAAAAGAAAGATATAGCCAAGATTTCCTTAAACCTTCCTCCAATCTTATCCCCTTCGTGTCACCACTGAATCTCAGTACCAACTTCATCTTCAACAAGTTTTCTATTCAATTCATTTAACGTTAATATATTTTGAACATAACTGGTCAGATTATTTTTTTTTCATTCGTTTACTATCATATTTTCAAATGTACATATGTCATGACTAGACATCGGCGTGACCGCCGTGACTGCCATGAGTCACGGTCACGGTCACGATCGTGACTCACAACCGTGACCACTTTTCGAAAAAAAGTCGTGGCCGTGACCTGACCGTGACCAAAACCTGGTCACGACCAGTCACGATAAATTTTCAATGTAACTAAAAAGCAGTTATTTTCAAACTTTATAGAGAATTAAATATTATATTTAGTATTCTTTCAATATGTATCAATATCCCTTTCTAATTATGCTAACTCAAAACGAAGGAATAGAATCAATACAATCGCAATACCAGAAAAAATATACTCAGTATTAATATATTTTAAACAGTTCGCATAGAAATACTTTAGAAAAAAATGTACCATTAAAAATATTATGACCTCCTTGAACAAGAATTACGTCATTTTCATATATTTTCGACTTTTTTGACTTTTGTCAGATGACTTATTCGATGATTGATCATTTCTCCACTTGTTCTGATTTCGCTCATTTCTATTCAGGCTTTGGCCAAATAAACTTTCAAAAACTTTAAGATATTTTCTCAAAAACAAATTCATCAATTTTTTCATACCTAATCCTTTTCATTTATCTGTTATATTATCTTCCACCACTCCGCACGAGGAGATTCGAGGTTTTCTATTGTGTCGAATCGCAAAACTTTTCCAGAGGGTCTTGTGTTGTGTCTCTTTTGTTTTTACAGATTTCAACTAAAAAGATTGTTCAAAAAGCCAAAGCGATTTTGATGCTTTGAGAAGGAATTTTTCGGATTTTAAAAGCCTAGATAAAACGTTGAAAACACTTAGTTAAGGTTTTCAGCTCAAAACTCTGAAAACTAAGCACATTATGGTGTAAATCAGGTAGTTGAAGTTGTCCTTTTTCGGAAAATTCGATAATTGAATGAGGTCTTATACTAAGTCTTGCACATATTTTCTCCAAGGGGGTCTTCTATTATGGAAAGCCCTCTAATATAGAGACCTCCTATCCGAAGAGAAGGGTATGCTATTTTGAGAAAAAGAAAATAGTCGTTTGTATAGAGACTGGCGTGGCTACCGTGACGTGACCGTGACCAAAAAATATTGGTTACGCCGATGTCTAGTCGTGACTATACGATAGACTTTGGACAAATTTTATATCTTAAAACAAAGTCCTGTTCTGAATAATTCATTGTTTTATTAATATGTAGCAAAAAAAGAAACACATTTTATCAAATAATTCATATGTTAAAATATCGTTCATCATAAATACATATATATATAATTATATTTTACACAAATTTATTTATCAAAAAACAAAGAACTAAACTTTTTTCCTAATGCAACTATCGTTGTTGCATTCGTATGATTTCTAATGCTGATTCACCTAATGCTTGTAATTCTTCATTTCCAGCGATTTCCATCCATCCACTAATTTTATAATAATCCTTCAAGTAACATTCTCCATCTTTAACTACCATCGCAATTTGACGAGCATAGTTTCCTGACCAACGATGGAACCGATAGTTTTGTTCAGCAATACGAATATAATTACTTCCAACTTCAGTTATAATAGCAATATGTCCAAAAGGTAAATCCCGACAACGAGGATAAATAAGTAGAGAATCTTTTTTCGGTAACGTTGAAGAACCATTGGAACGAGCTATTAATGGAATTTTTTTTCCATCAGTAACTCGTTCAATACTAGATAGTTCATGCCAAGCATCGGCTGCTGATCCAATACTTTTAAATATACAAGTTTTTCGTAATAATAACCATCGACGAGCAAATTCAACACATTGCCATTTATATCCTGTACATATTCCATGACAATAATGATGTTCAGCAGAAAAAAAATCATCATCACCATTTGAATAAGCTGGAACATTTGATGAAGCAATTCCTAATACTTGATTATACGGAACCATTCTAGTGTTAATTATTGTAATCTAAAATATATTTTAATAAAAAATCTATATGAATAATAGTTATACTTGATTTATTTACAATAAAATAATGTGTTGTGAAATTTTCAGAAAATAAAACGATCAAGCAATCTTATTCGAATGACAATTCTTATTAGCATTTTTTTCGATTATAATTCTGTTATAAAATTTGAAAAATATTGCTAATACAAAAAAGAAATTCGCGTCTTTAAAAATTTTCTTCAAATTTTTTTTTGTGAAATTACAAAATTTTTTATTTTAATTCTCAATCGTTGATAAATTTTGGGTTTGTCTTGATTTGCACTACTATGCAACGATATACTTATAAAATATCGAACATAACTAAAATCATCATCTACTATTCGATAAGTTCAAAATATTTTCGTACTTACATTATCAATAAAAATAAATATAAAGTTCGCGTTGGTTTAATCACTTTACCGTTATGAGGAACTTTGTTTGTCAGATTGCTTGTATTTGATGTCTATATATTATATACTAACTAGAAAAATAGAATGAGTCAGTAACAGAAACAAAAAAGAAAAAAAAAATACAACATTTATTGACGTATGTGTCGTTATTGATGACATAGCAGTTTTTTCTTTTTTTTTGTTGCCTGAGTTTCTTTTGCGTTCGTTCGAATAACGCAGTAAGCATCAAGAGGAAACAAAAAAAAATGAATGCCTACGTAAATTGTAGCAAGAAATCTTGCAAAGACTGGCAACGCAAAGTCATACATCAGATGACTCAATCAAAATAAATCAGAAAATTCATGAAATTACATAATTATTTTTTCTTCTATGAGTTTAAAAATAAAATTTAACTCATGATTAATGAATATAAGAATGAAATTCATTGGTATGAAAGTTGTTATGTTGATATGAGGTATGTTCAGATTTCCAAAAAATGAAATTACCCGTATTTCTGAAATTTCTATCATCTCAATTACTATATAGCAGTGCAAATCAAAAGTTTTTAG